CAATGGACAAGGAAACCACAATATTGCGCACAAAAAAGTGTACCTTTGCGCGCGCCGCGCGCGCAAACACAGGCGAATATCGCTGGGCCTAGTGCGTCAATGCATGGGGTCGGTGGGGGGGGGGGGGGAAGCTGAACCCGTGTTGTACATGTTTTTTTTGTAAAAACTTTCTTAAGCTTGTTATATAAAGCATGAAAACTGGTGTTTTAAAGGCGTTCATACTCTTATTTTTTAGTGCACTCAGAAATGGCGATATTGCGCACAAGTTTCCTTGTTTTCTGATGGACAATCTTGAGCACAACCATTTTGCCCCAAAAAACACATAATCGCGATGTTGCACACAAGTGCGCCCTTTCGGACCTTACCGACATTTTGCACGAAAGGTAGTTCCCCTCATAGCCGCCATGGCTACGTATCTATCATCGCCCCATCAACTGCCCGATCCGAAGCCACTACATCCCTAGTTCAGTTGCCTCTTCCATGGGGTCGCACCCAATGGTGCATGACCTATTCTGACCAATTGCATAACTCATCGCTGCACCAAGCAAGAGGCCCAAACTGTAAGGGGACGCAGCTGTCGGGTGCAAGCTGCGGTCCCACAGGCCCAAAATGCCAGCCAGCCGTGTGGCAAGAGACGGGAATTCGGATGCCAAACTTCGAGTTACAAAGCGAAGGGTCGGGTGGCTATTTATAACCACCCAAGAGCGGGGGTCTGGCAGCCCAAGAGGCGCTGCTAGAATGATTGATTCAAATGTTTGTTCGTATTGGTTTGAATCCCCCGCCACACATGTTCCCCATGTCCGTACCACTTCCCGTCATTCCCATATGCCATTTATTACTAACCCTTTAGGCGTACCTCCCCGTAGCCTGTCCCACATATCCTTGACCCTAAACGGTATTCAGGTGTGTAGTTTACACCCTGTTTGCTATAAATAAAATATCTATTATACAGACCGGTTCCTCTCCGGGTACCCCGCTGGTCTAATATACAATGCATCTCCCGTGTTATTATACAAGATGAACCCCTTTCTGCGCTAAAGTACATAACCCCCCTGGGCGTCCCTCACACAAACTTTGCTCACACTCCCACCAAAGAATTGTTTTGAAAACACTTGGGGTAGGCACAATGGACCATTTACTCCTCTCATTATCTTTAGGTAATGGTGTGCAACTCTATATTTATAATATAATGGTTTAATTTACCTCTTGGCTTTTATTATCTAAATATGCAGATGTATGGGTGATTTAAATGTGCAAAACCTTATGTACTACAGCCCGGATAATGGGGGCCGAGTAAGGGGAGTTTTGGAGTTGTTTTGCTGGTGACCGGTGGCCCGTTTTGTATAATGCATTGTGTTTCTGTCTTCGTGTACTAGCACACTTGAACGTGTGACGGTCGGATGGTATTTGGATGTAGGGGGCGAACTGTCTGACTGTAATTATTGTTTTTGGCTCACTGCCGACTCCCGTGGGGGCGACCGTGTGCCCCGGCTGTCCAATGACCATTGCTGGCACCGGCCTAGGGACGCAGGCCTTGCGACGCTGTGGCCCTAGGCCCTGCTGCGTACTCCAAAGAAGCGTGCGCCCCGATTACGCCGGATCTGCATGGCATTGCCATCGGGCGCAGATCCGAGGTCACCCATGAGGGGTGCACCGGGTGACGGCAGGCACGTGCCAGCTCCAACGAACAAAAACCATGTTAGGAACAGCACGCACAAATCCCTGAGATCGTTTCCACTGCCATATCCGACATCCGGATGCATATCCGCATCATTGCCATTTGGTCGGTTCCACACTTTCGGCGGGGCTTTTTTCATTGCATTGGTGCAAAACGGTGCGCTTTGTAATTCTGCACTCTCGGACCTGATATTTGTGCATGGAGGCAACCCCCTCGACGTGTAGGCATGACCCCATTGGGTGAAGCGCGGATTCCTAGTATATTGTGTGTACGGCCTCATGTCTGACCGCCCCTTGCCACATGGTCATAGCAGAATCGGGCGTTGTAAGTCCGTGGTATAGGGCACGTATCGGGGTATGTGTATAGATCACCCATGGGGGTCTCCCGTAGCCACTGTAGACTCTACAGTAATAATGTTGCTCCTCTAAGGAGGTTGCTTGGCAATTTGAGTCTTCTTGTGCGATTGGTGCTGGTCTCTAAGGCATGCACTTCCCTCCTTTTTGTCCTGGGCCTCACGGGGTGCCAGCTGAGCGAAGCATACACTAAGCTATCTTTAATGTTTTTCAATTTTTCGTTGATTGGCGACACAAACAAAAGTTTCCAAATTCCCAGCCCACAGGGATTTTGCAAGGGCCTGGCTGTACAAACAGCCAATCCAACATGCTGAATCCCCATATCCCATTGTGAGATGACTCAGCGATTGAAACACCCTGTCAAGCGCAAGTGCAGGGTTACCTGCTTTGTACTGCGGCGCTGTCAAAGGCGTGACGTGCATCCAGCCCACGGGTTACCTGCTTTGTACTGCGGCGCTGTCACAGGCGTGATGTGCATCCAGCCACGGCACAGAAACAACTTCAAGTCTTCTACCCGCGGGTTGGCCCCCGCTGGTGTCAAAGATGCGGTTTGGGCCTGTCCGGACACCAGATGAGCCGACTGTTTCACTCGTCTGCTGCAGAGTTGCAGCAACGGCGAAAGCGCCACGCTGGACGCCGCAGAAACGCGCCGCCAATTGCTCACAGGCAAGTTTCAACTTGCCGTTGTCACGACAACATCTCCGGCGCCAGTGTGCCGTGCAGGATCTGGCAGACTCGAACGACAAGTGCCCGGGCCCGGGAGCGCAGGTTCTGTTCTGCTCAGATGGGGATCTGATCCCATCTGGATTGGTACCGTCGGAGATGCCGCCAAGATCTGCAGACCCCTGGCTGCGCAGCCACATTCCTTCCGGAAGGGCTTCTACGGATCAGCAGAATTCAACCGTGTTTCGCCACAGGTGGGCTGCGAAAATGCGCTGTGTCGGAGCCCGTCCATACCCCCGAAGAGCTTGGGAACCCGCTGCACCCGTTTGCCGCGGCCACCTGCGTCGTTCCGTTGATGGCCAGCAAACGGAAGCGGAGTGCGAGATGTGGCCCCCCTGCCATCTGCAGAACCCGTGACGGCGACCATTGCGGTGCGATTCGTGGACGCATCCGTCAGCGTTGGCATTGTTTCGCTCAGATCTACCTCCTCCACTTTGCATGTCTCACTCGCTCTGTCCGCAGTGGGCCCGCAAGGGTATACCGAGCAAGGTAACTGCAGAGTCTGGTAAGCGCAGACTTTTGTTTGGAAGGGCCCTCCAGTGAAGAGAACACGCTGCTCGCAGCAGTCGAAGGGCCCGTGAACGCCCCCACTGGCAATTCCAAAGCCACCAAAGCCACCAGCGGGGGCACCAGTGATCGTGATGCCCAGGATGCTGACGATCATAAGTCAGGGCAGGAGAAGTGTGTCCTTCCGGCCTTCACAGCATCTCCGTGGTAGAGAAGTTCCGAGACGTTCCAAAACTCGACGAACGACTGTCGACAGGGCTATGAGCGACTGGCGCGAGCTCCCGAGCCTTGTGGGCGTCCTCGTCAAGCGACCGGGTTGAGAGTTGCGTCAAGTCATGCAACAAACACAGGAGGATGGTTAAACGGATTGGGCGGATCAGCCGCCAACGCGCGTTCCGTGATGTGCTGATATTCATAGTCAGGACGCCGGTGGGTATTGAATCAGTGGTGCAAGCATTGTGCGGACACTGGCCCGATGTGATTAACCTCGCCGCTGTTGGTGCCGAATGGGCCGCCACGTCAGGAACAATGTTGAGACTCTCTGGAAGATTAACAAGAGTTTCTCCTCGCAGAAACACGGGCATGAGAGAATCGAGGCCAATATCTGCCCAACACCTGAAGTTATGTCGTTCTATCGATTTTTTAAAATTTAGCACACAGCGGGCTTAAAGCGTATCTATGGGCAGTTGCTGTGGCGTTGCTTTGCATATCATCAATGCCACCTGCCTCTGCATCCCAACGCATTGATGCAGCCACTGTATTTCATCACATCTGCCATTTTTCAGCTGAACCATAGCCAATATATTGCAGTCTTAATACTGGTGTTTTCCACCATGGAACTCGCAACAATAGGTCCCACAAATTCATATTGAAGTATGCTGAACGTGGAAATTGAACGGAAGGGGCCGCTTTCAGTTCCCTTGTGTCCCAAACTCTCACAACGCGCATCTGACTGAACTTGAAATTTCAGGTCACTTTCTGCACCGGTAGTCGCCGTGCTTCTCGCGTACATTTGCGTTGAGTCTCCAAACTCTCCTCTCTGCACAGCGGTGCACTTTCCTGTATGCCCCGCTCGTTTCTCTTTTATGACATGGATTGTTGTTCCGCCACTCGCTCTTTGCAGGCCGAAATCCGTTGTCTTGGTTGCAATACAAGGACCCATATGACCTTGGAGTGGTGGTGCCTGCAGGGCGGAAAAACAGTAGGAAGGGAACTCCGAACTAGACAGAGCCGTCAACAATGCTCTCGCCACGTTTTGAGCTGACTCAAGATTGCCGCTAAGCTAACAATAGATTACATACAGCCGTCAACAACGCGCTGGCCAAACGAGCCAACTTGAAATCGCGTTGCTCCAGGTCTGAATGAATATTTCACCCTCATCATTACATTTTTGCACCGAAGCGCTGTGTATATGGGTAGCCGTCGGCCTCCCGGTTAAACGAGGCTTTCCCCTTGGACCTACGGCCGCAACGCGAACCATCAGCACAGTCCCACCCTCGGCGTCAGCCTTAGCGCTCCCACACCCACAACCGGAGAGTCAGACACCGGCGTCCGGAACCCTGCACCGACCGCCCCTCCGCGACCCCCATTTCTTCCCCACGACCCCCTCTCCCCCCGGCCCGGCCCCACCCCGCGTTCCACGCCCAAGCCCTCTCCCTCCCCCCCTCCCCCCCGCCCCAGTTGCCTCTCCACGGCGAACCTCGCATCGCCCCGCCACAGGCGCGTCTCAGCGCAAGGGGATGTCGAGCGACGGCGATTCGTCGCGCCTGTCGTCCTTCCTGGTTCGGCAGTTCTCCGCGCGCAGGCGGCGCGACGACGGCGATGAGGGAACGGACTTCCGGCCGGAGGAGCCCAAGGTCCTCTCTGAGGAGACCAAGCGCAAGGCGGACGCCGCCAAGGGCTTCATCGAGCACCTGTACCACAAGTCGCTGCGCGATGATTACTCGGAGCGGGTGGCGCGCCGGGCGGCTGTGGAGAAGCAGCTGCGGGCGGGGGATTTGAGCGAGGAGGAGAAGCGGGAGGTGCTGGGCGCGTACCAGCAGAAGGAGAGCGAGATCGCGCGGCTGAGGCGGGCCAAAATCTCGGTGGACAATTTTGAAGCGCTGACGATTATCGGCCGGGGGGCGTTCGGGGAGGTGAGGATCGTGCGCGAGAAGGCGGGGCAGGGGCGGCTGCTGGCGATGAAGAAGCTTCGCAAGGCGGACATGGTGCGGCGGGGCCAGGTGGAGCACGTCAAGGCCGAGCGCAACGTCCTGGCCGAGGTGCACAACCCCTTCGTGGTCACGCTCTACTACTCCTTCCAGGACGCGGACTATCTGTACCTGCTTATGGAATACCTGCCCGGCGGGGACATCATGACGATGCTGATGCGCAAGGACATCCTCACCGAGGAGGAGACGCGGTTCTACATAGCGGAGACGGTGTTGGCGGTGGAGGCCATCCACAGGCACAACTACATACACCGGGACATCAAGCCGGACAACCTTCTGCTGGACCGGGAGGGCCACCTCAAGCTGTCGGACTTCGGTCTGTGCAAGCCGGTGGACGTGCAGCGGCTGCCATCCCTGCCCGAGAACGAGGTGGTGGCGGGGATGGATGGGGTTTCGGGCAAGGGAGGGGGCTCGGGCCGGTCCCCCCGCGCCATGAAGCAGCATTGGCAGCAGAATCGCAGGAAGCTGGCGTTCTCCACGGTTGGCACGCCGGACTACATCGCCCCGGAGGTGCTCATGAAGAAGGGTTACGGCATGGAGTGCGACTGGTGGTCCCTGGGGGCGATTATGTACGAGATGCTGGTGGGCTACCCACCCTTCTACTCGGACGACCCCATGACCACTTGCAGGAAGATCGTGTACTGGCGCACCTTCCTGAGGTTCCCACCCGAGGTGACCATGTCGCCGGACGCCAAGGACCTCATACAGAGGCTGCTGACCGACGCAGACGAGCGGCTGGGGGTGCATGGGGCCCAGCAGGTCAAGGAGCACCCATTCTTCAAGGGCATCGACTGGGAGAGGATCACACAGTGCAGGGCACCGTATGTCCCAAAGGTGGAGCACGAGCTAGACACACAGAACTTCGAGAAGTTCGAGGAGGAGGCGCAGATGAATAAGGCAAGGCAGATGCGGGCGCGGCACGGCCAGAGGGACCCAGAGTTCATCGGGTACACCTACAAGAACTACGAAGCCACCACGGCGCAGGGTGGGGAGGGCGGGGTGGTGCAGCTCAAGAAAAAGGGCTCGGCGCGGGCCAGCCTGGCAGCCCTGCAGCAGAACCTGCAGCAGATGTCCGTGGAGGAACAACCCAGGCAGTGAGACAGCAGGGTGGATGACTTTTGGATAGTTTTGTAGCTTTTGATTTGAGAGAAGCGGCGAGGGGAGCTCTTTAGCGGGTATGCGGCAGGGCAGGAGAGAAAGCAGGAGTGGCTGCAAGGGAACACAATGGGCGCGGGGGGGTGATGGTTCCACCAGCTAAGGCATCCAAAGCTATTTGCATCAAGAGTTTCTGGATGCAGTCACTTCAATGGGGCTTGGAAGTCTGTGTGGGCCGATTGCAATGGAGAGGATCGGCAGTTTGCCTCGCTACGACACTGCCAGTTGGTGGGTTTGGGTAGCTAGTGGACTCTGGAAATATGAAATATGGAAATTGCGCTGGTGGCCTGGTCCACAATAGGTTTGGTGCATCATGAACGGCTGGCAGCACCAGCCCTCAGTCTGGGAATTCATTTTTGCAGTTGGTTGCATGGATGGTTAGTTGGGCATAGGTCTGGAAGAATCCATGTCCTTGGACACCTGCAATGGCAACTAGAGCTTGCTGTAGATCGCAGAAAAGCTACAGGGCACTGGTCTGATAGACTTTGCAGTAAGATTGCCAGCCATTTAAACAGATATGTTGACGCTGTTCAATAGCTATGGTAGGCTTTGCTAAGTGCACAGTTGGTGCCATGCACAGCTGATAGACATGTTGGTTACATTGTGTAGAATATCATCTCTTTCAACCCAGCAGATTGGCAGGATGAGCTGGATGTTTCTGATGTGGCATTGGAGGACAGGATGTCCTGGATTTCTGGGCCAACAGGGTAGGCAATTTTATGTGGCAAGATGCGAACAAGTAACTTGATGGTGCACTCAACATGTGTCGATTTACGATTGACTCTGCCCATTGATGTGAGCCTTCCACAAACTGCAGATGTGTTGCATGATCGCGGCTTGATTCAGGTGCAGTGAGTTTTCGCCTTGAAGGAACTTGTGCTTTTTGAAGCGTTGATGCAGGACTTTGCTGTCAGCCTGTTCGGGGGCGCCTGCTGCTGTGCTGAGACCAAAGATGTCTAAGCATAAGCACATGCCAATTGCTGCTGCAGGCTGGCAGCAAGAAGCTGAAATGTCAGGGAGCAGTGGACGCCACCCACGTGTGTTCTGGCACATTGTTCAATCATCAAGTGCTGTCGTGTTGGTGCAAGGCGGCATCCCCAGCTGCCCACAGAAAGTAAACCAACGCAACAAGCATCCATGAGGACAGTTGGTGCGATTCCACCGCTGGGACTCGAAGACCTGTGCTGTGGCACGAAAATGCACAAGATGTTCTTCTTTTTGGCCATCTCTGTGACTTGGGGCACCAACAAAACCAGCATGCGCAGAGTAAGGCCAAGCCCAGCGATGAACAATTGTAGATTACAAAGTGAATATGTGGTATAAATATGTATTATGCATGCAGGCCGCTTGCACCTTTCCAGTCCAGCTTGCGCATGGAACGCATCAACCACCCGCACTCCCAGACAACCATCCTTGCCTTGTGCATTTTCAGAAGGGTCATACATGGCGCACCCAGGCCCCATGTCATCGCCCAGGGAAACCCCGGGCTCTGCCTTCTTGTTCGCGAAGCAGTGCGTTCAGCACCTTCACAAATTCAAACCTGTCGATGAAGGGATATTCCGACAGCCAGCAGCGTAGTTGGGGCAAGAACACTTCCCGTACTACCTGCACCAACACCATTGCATAGTGAACGTGCTTTCGAAGCTCATGAAATGTAGCACAGCTGACACACCAGGCAGACACCCATTGAGGTAGAACGACCACAGAGAGGGAGCAAGGGCATCTGCTGAGCAATTGTGTGGTGGGAGGTGAGGTGGCCATGCAAAGGAAGCCGTCGTCAATCATACAGTGCCACTGCGGAGGCTACAGCATTCCATGTGATCTACCAGCGACAGAGCAATGATACATGCCACCACCTGGCTGGAGGGGCTTGCTCCTCAAAATATGTACTGCTGTGTGGCCAGCAGCATCTCATGGCATCTGTACCTTGAAGTTCCTGAAGCTTTTGTCATTGGACAATGCAAGGAGTTCTGCCGGTTGCCCAGCCGATACCTGCTCCTGGCTGCAAGAACAGCAGGAAAGGAAAATGCTGGTGTGAGTGCCCATCCATCACAGTTGCATTGCATTCCTTTTCTTCTGAGAAGTCTGTCTTTGGCTGTGAATGCGAACAGGTCCGGGTGAACAGGAAGCTGCTGGGTTCAGGGCAGCGATGGTATCACAAAAACCCACTGCCAGCAACAGCACCACCCTGGCTGCCTTTGACAACACCACGAACAGGCTTGCAAGAGCAAAATGTTGTGCAAATGTATTGGGCCCATGCATTCAACAACACTGGACCAGCAGTCCATCTGGATTATTTGATGCTCCTTGCACAGCAGGGACTCACCCACTGCTATGCACTAGCAAGGACGTGCAAGGCTACCACTATATTGACAGCAGGCGTCTGACATGCACAACACTGCTGCACACATATGGCCAACAGGAGCACTGCAAAATCCAAGATTGGCAGATAGTCCAGAGAATGGTCAGAAAACAAATTACATGGTGGCTCATATCTAGTCTTCAGGTCACAAGAGAGGGAAGAATGGCAGTGTGTCTGCATGGTGCTGTGTGCGCCTTCGCCACCTCGTTTGATCTGTATGAATCTTGCAACTGCTGCAACCAGAAATACAATGCATCTGGGGTTCAAATATGAAGTACCAGAAGAGAATAGACACAGTCAAGTCACCTGTAACCGTACGGCACCACCATTTCCACACGAGCCCCTCCCTGCCATGGGTCGCCACACAGCACCCGAATCGACTGATAGGATCTCCGCTGCTGCCATCCCACCCCCTGGCGATCACTGAATGTGTCCGCCCGCACGTCAAGTGGCTCCACCTCAAGAACCTGTGCATGCCATATGCCCCCATAGCTCCAACCCTTGGACAGCAACTCGCAGTTTCGCAGACCTGGGATCGACAAAACAAGTCTTCAGCATTGTGGGCACTTGTGTCTGTTCACTGAATACATTCGTAAAGTATGATTTAGGCACAATCCATGCAACACTAGGGTAGTCATGGGCTCCAGCCCAGCCACACTATTCGCTCCAGAGTGTTGGTCATCTCTGCTCACTCAGAATGTACAAGAGCCAGAGCAAAGGCACAAGCATGTGCTGCTAGTGAATCGTTGGGAATGAGTTGAGATTGGCTGCAGCCTGGCTGGATGAGCATTGTGAAGGACGGGGTGTTGTGCTTCAACATCTGGGAGGAAATCAACATTCAATGCTCTTTGCAATTCCCAGCTCTAGCCCACGCCTTCATGAACAATTACAAATAGCACTGCAAGGGTCACATAATCCAGCAACAGGGCAAGTTTAACATGAAGCAGTTTCAGGAGATGGCGCCATGATCCCCAATGCAAGGTAAAGTCAAACCACCAATAGGGACTCTCGTGATGAAGCATATACCAAATTCGTACCGTGCCCACTTCAATGCAATCCAGCCAAAGCAACTATCCTGACTGCAATTTTGAAAGGACATCTGAGAGCAAGGATGCATGAATAAAGAACATGTCCTGGCGGCAATGTGATCATGTGCTCTTCTTCAACATTGTGCTTTGCACAGCGTTGTCCCAATGTCGCATCAAGCTCCTCGGAGGGTTCAACAGCACACATTTTCTTCCATGCAATGGAATACGATTCATCCCTAACTTAATGGCCAATTAGGGGGCACAAGGCCCCCATCTGTTCGGCTTTAGGATGGGGTTGGCACTTGGACACATAAATGTGACGTTCAATTTCGGGATAGAGCAAAACCTTCTTCAGGCACATACTTGCAAGAGCCCAAGGCCCAAGCACTGGGGCCAGGAGCGCGAGGGCTGCCAGACTCGCAATTTTAGAGAATATAAGGCTTCCTCCAATCGCACAACTCCACCACACAATTTTCCTGGGCACCACCATAGGACACATTAGCCTGCCTGGTCACTGCTGGGACACCCAAAACATCCCACAGTGATCTTGGGCATTAATGTGCCCATTTTTTCACTCAGACCAATCCATAAACCAGATCTCACCAGGAGCCTTCGCAATTGTCTGATGAGCAAGCAAGCGAAAATGGACACGTTGACATTTACAGATGCACGAACGTGGCATGCAACGGTGCACTTACGGCTGGAGAACATTTCGCCACAATGGTCGTCTCCATGGCATTATGCACTGACTGCAAGAATGTGGTCTGTTTCCAAGTGGAAGAGCCTGTTGTTATCTCCCTCTTTCAATGACACAGGACTTTGCCAACCACAACAAGATCGTGCACAACTGAAGTGAAACACTTCTGTCTGAGATAACTAGGACTTGAAGCAGCCTCACAGGCTTCCAGGAAAGATCACAGCAGGGAAGTTGCGAATCTTATGGACAGCCAATCCCATCAGCAGAGTTGAGGTGGATGCCAGCAATTGCAGCACTGTCATTATGACTGCATCACAAGGATGTCACAACAGGAGCCACATCTGCAGCATGCCATGGTCTGAGTGCTCAAACACAAGGCTGGGAAATAGACTCTGTGTTCTGCTGGGCTCTAGCATCTAAAGAGACACCACTCTGACAATTCCGTTTGTACTAATGCCTGACACCATCTTCTAGAGTAGGGTTGTGCTTTGTCACTTTTTGACAAAGCCAATCAAAGCAGTTGTACACCGGAGCTGCATCCTTGCAAAACCCTGCTGAGAATCTTCTTCACACCTTCTTCTGAGGTGGACAGTGCTAGTCCTTTGGGGGACAACTTTTTAGGTTGCAGAAAGGTGGAACATTTTCAGCATGGGATGTGGACATTACCCCCAGTTTAGTACACAACCCCTTTGCAAGGTGATTAAAAGCCCACATCAAGGTCCTGCCTGCAATTTCGCAGGGATTATTCTATTTCCAAATATCTTGCTCTTTTTTCAAGAGTCCAGGTGCTGCCCCCTTCCAAACAGACAGACAGACATGGGCCTTGCGTCACAAGAAAAGTGTTATGTACAACTCCTAAGATTGTTGAAACGGAAATTAATGTGCATTGCCTTGACTGTGATTGTAATCTCTGCAGGAGGTCCTTAGGAGATTGTCCTCCTTACCAAGGCAACCAGCAAGCAGCCAGCCCAGCCACAATCAACTGCGCACTATTCCAGTACCAACAGCCTATCACTGGCGATCCTTACAACTGTCAATAGCTGTGGAAAGACATGCACATGAGGACATTATTACTGCTGAAAATACATGAAGTCAATAATACGTTGGACAGTACAACATTGCACCAAACCACCATTTTACTGACGTTTAGGCAAAGGTCACTCACTCTGAAACGTCTCCAGGGGCGTAGAACTCTGCCTGGGGACCCGAAGGGAACAGTGACAGCACCCTGTCCTGACAAACACATTCACACAAACTCATTTATTCCACATTGAAGCTGCCCACCACTTCCTGTCAATATTGCAATGAGCTTTACTACACACACATGGATACCACAAAGCTGCACATCTGCATCTGCAGTTTCCTTTGCGTGTGCTGAGGTTCTGCTCATGGCAGCCCCTTTGGACAACAATGAGGAAGAGGACACAGCGCATTCTTCATTGGAGGGATGAGCGACCACTGTGTCCATGCAATTAACATGATGCCACATTGGGCATTGGTGTCACTAACAAACACTGTGAATATGGCAACAACATCCTTATGTGGGTCCACAAGGAATCTGCATAGGAAAAGAGCCCCGAAAACTGCAGGCCTTCAGAGGGTTCCATAGGCTGGGCTGACCAACAACATAACTTGTATCCTATAGTCCGCAACGCACAATTATTCACAAATGTACTCATTCTCATTCCAATGCACTGCCTTTCTTTCCATGAAGCAGCTTTGCCGATGGTGGTCTCCAAAGCAATATGCAGGTGAGCCTTGCTAATGTGCCCAACATATGGCTAGCCCACGTTCCCGTCAGCCACCCATGCGCTGCAAGGCACTGCTTTGCATGAAGTTCAAAGGCAAATCCATGCACCTCCACAACATCTGAATACCACACCGCTCGTGGATCGCCATTCCCTTCCCTGGAATTCCCTTCCTGGTGGATTTCAGCCATTACGTTCCCACGCTAGGATCTGCCTCCACCTGGTAACGGCAATTGCAACAAGAACAGAATCCCCCACCAGGACCCTCACCTCGCATTGGGATTATTCACATCATGCAACGTGCTCTCACACACTTGCTTAGGAGGGGTCGCACTTTGCATGATCCGTTTTCATTCGACTTCCAATGCCAAATCCCACCCCTCCAGGACCCGCCTCACCTTCTCCTCCGTTCTTAGCACACTCACGTCGGAAGGCTGTCCCCCGCCCTTCGGCCACTCCCCCCGGCCGGCCTTCGGCGCCCCCCTCCTCCTTCCCGCCTCCCTCACTCTCTCTCCCCACCCCCATTCCTCCGCCATCCCCTTGCCCCCGTCCCCCCAATCCTCCTCCCCCGCCCCCTGCCCCTCCCCCACGCCCCCCCACCCGTCGTCCAGGGCCCTATGCCACGCCTCCGCGGCTCGATCAAAAATGTCCCCCGCATCGCTAGGGCCAGATTCTCGCGATCTCGGCTCTGCCCGCCGAGAATCCCCGTTGGCCGGCTCGTCTTCATCGTTATCATCGACGTTCTCGAACACGCGGTCGGCCACCCTGCGCGACTCCGGGTCCTTTGAGCTCCACCGGTAGGAGGAGCATCGGATGACTGCCCCCGAGCGGGCGCGGCGCTGGGAATTGATCCCAAAGGCGCATCCCCTCGCGGAAATTTGCGGGAATGGGATCGGGGCCGCCGGCCTGCTGGCGGGATGCCGGGGATACTGGGGCGGCAGCCGTCGCGGGGCGCGAGCAGCGCCGCGCCCTCGCGTCGCTGTCGCGCTCGGCCTGCCGGGTTTCATCAAAAGGCGGTCGAGCGGCGGTGAGACTGGGACTGAGTGGGTACAAGGCGGTTGGGGCGAGCGCCAAGCCAAGCCCCAGCCATCGCTGTCATCAAGTACGGCATGCTGCTTTCCACATTTTTGAAACGTTTACAGCGCAGGAAAAAAAAACTATCATCGACGGCAGGTGGCACCGCCGTTGTTGCTTCGTTGTTCCTGGGAGTTGCTCCGCTGAGATTTGGCAGTGCACACAGCCCTGCGGCAGCGCACCGCAAAGTTGTAGCACCTTCCTCTTGAGTTTCAACCACCAAAAGACAGTGGCTCCATCCTGTCACTGCAAGGCCAGCCGAGTGAACAAGCAGCTGCCAGCTCATCCCGCATCACTTACTACAGTAACACTGTTGTCGCTTGTCGGAGCCAACAAGCCACAGTAGCGAGTTCCTTTTTTACTCATGGATATTGTCAAGGAAAACATCGAACGAATCGCAAATTTTGGCTTTCGAGCACACTGCCGGCGGCCACGCCAGCCCCGTTGCGACTTCTTTTGTCACTCACGGAATTACTCACGGAAAACATTGATCGATTGAATTTTTTTGAAACGCCAAATTCTGGCGTTTGAGCGCGCCCTGCAGGCCAACCCGCGGCGGCTGCTTCCGCCCCCCGCCGCAGTCTCCTCGCGAATCCGTCCGTCAGCTTCCCCACTGCGTCCACCGCCCACGGTACGCCGATATACCTCCCTGCACCAAACCC